TTTTTTTTTTTTTTTGAATATGTGGATTGCATACATTTTCTTATTCCTTTTACCATACGACTCTCCGAGCAGTTGAAATTGAAATTCCAGTCAATGCCGAAGTGGACGCATCCGAAGGATGTGGGTTGCAAATTTGCAATTGTATCGCCTGCGAGGAGCTCAGTGATGACGGATCTGGTCGGGAAGGCTGACGATGACGCCACCACCCTTTGCGCTCTGGGCTCCCACTCTCTTGACATCGCCAACTGAAATCTTTTTCTCGTCCTTGGGTGGGCCGATTGACTGATCCGGATGAACGCGGGCTCAAGAATCCGACCCGACCTGTCCTCGAGTTGCTGGTTTTTAACGAGATTTGGGTAGTGGCCGTCGGCACTTACAAAGGGTATCTGTCGGTTTATTCCTTGTCAGGAGATCTGATTCATAGATAGGTAAGAAGCTGCAATTTTTTTATTTTCGTGTGTTTTCATTTTTCATTTTGGATTTTAAACTCTTGTATTATTGTGTAATTGGGATTACTTTATAGTGTTGTGGCAATGACTTTGACATGTTATTCCAAACAATTGAATAAGAGTTCCTTTATTCTATTTAACTGAATATATTTTATAGTTTAGTTTATAATTTTTTATTACAAAAATTATATTAACATGCGATGATTTCTTTCAAAAAATTGTGTTTATATGTAAAATTATTATAAAATATAAAAAAATATTAATAAAAAGTAAAAGCAATTCCGAATGCAGGCTTAGGGGATGAGTAAGTGTTGGATAAATTGATGATTTTTTGCTTAATTAATTAATTGGATGGTATGTTGTGTTTTGTGTAAACTGAAAAATCAGATAAATTTTTTTCTGCTTGCTAAGATTGAAATAAAACGTTTGCTCCTAATGAAATCAGAATGTCTGAAACAAAATATGTACATTAGTATTTACATATTGTATGTTTCCGAGTTGCATATATTAAATTACATAAAATATAAATTTAATGTAATTAATAATTAATAATTAATATTAAAA